AAGCCCATTCCTGTAGGAGCATTCGAGGCTGGAAAGGTTCAAATCAGAGCTTGTGCCCCACCAGGGTCTTTTAGAGTGACAGCATCACTCACACCCCTCACACAGAGCTTTGGGAAGCCCCAGACCATGGTCCCCTGCATCCAACACCCCTCTGAGATACCACACACATCCATCTCCGCTCTGTCACACAGACTGAATGCCCCGGGCCACACTCAGCCCTCATTCCCAAACATCCCAAGGATGGGGGGGACTCATCCACCCCAGAGCATGTCCTGCTGCAGAGGAGCAGGGATGATGCTCTCCCCCCAGGGCTGAGCATCCCAAAGACTCACACGCTGCCAGCATCACCGCCAGCAGTAGGATGCAGGGATGCACCCGTGACCGTGATGCTGGGAGAGGGGGAAGTTTGAGCTCCATCCTTGGGTGACAATGATAATCAGAGAGATTTATATCAGCCAAAGGGCAGGGGGGAACTGCAGGGAGATGGAGGAGGGCTCTGGGAGCAGGTGAGGTGGGGCTCACCCGAGAAGCTCGGTGCAATGATGTTAACAAAAGGGAGGCAGGTCCTTGCTGCGGGGCTGCTCCCCATGGAAGGGCGCTGGGTTACATTCCCTGCACCCTCTTTGCTCTTATCCCATCATTTAAACTGCAGAATTAGGGGCTGGAAGAGACCAGGCTGCGAGGAGGAGCCCAATGGGGCAGGCAAAGCCCTTAGGGCAGTGGTGGTCCCATGCCCAGGGCTTAGCATCCCATCGTGCTGGGAGCGGCACAGCCCCTGCCCAAACCCCCATTCCCGGCTCCAATGAGCCCCTTTCCAAGGGCAGGGAGGTGATCCTAGAGAAGCCCCGGCCGAGCTCAGGGACAAATCTGACACAGATCTGCCTTTAACAGCTCCAGTGATAAAAATGCCAGTTTATTGGAAACACATGGAGTATTTATAGGGGACATCAAAGCAGGAAGGAGGTTTACATAGCAACAGGGCAGATTAAGCAGAAGGCATCTGCTTTTTCGGCAGCCGGGGGGCTCTCGGGAGGCACAATAAAGTGACCCTTTCATTCCCTCCTTTGGGAAAAGCAAAGGTTGGAAAATCAAAATATAACCACATGCCCGGCCGTGTAAAACGTGACAGGAATGGGAGCGTTGGGTTACAGCTGCACCCCGGCACACGGGGCTGTAGGGGAGGGAATGGCACCCAGCATCTCCCACCACGGTGATGCTGAAAGAGATCCTGCCTCAAACACCAGGATTCTCCTCTAAATGGTGGAGGAAAAAGCCTTTGATCTGCCCAAAGTGCTCCATCAGGGGCTGTTTGGGGTTTATTCGGGATGGGAAGCAGCACCCAGGTAGGGTGAGGAGGCGGCTTCTTTGCTGGTGAGCAGAGCAGAGCCCAGCCCCTCACAGCTTTGTTCCTCAGTTTCCCCACTGCTGAAGCAGGGCTGGGATCACCAGGATACTCTGACGCTGCCGGGCCTGATCCTGCTCGGATGGACTCTTTTCCATGCAGGAACAAGCCCTGCTTGCTTCCCCTGCAGCAGCATCCCACCCAATGGGACGGGATGAGAGCGAAACCTCATCCCCCTGCTGCAGCCAGGATGCACACGGCAGGATTTGCCCCCTTGGAAAGGGTTAACCCGTGTGTGCTGGACACGGGGTGTCCACAGCGCCGCAGGGGCCTGGAAGGATGATGAATAGCTGGGGACATCCTCTCCCCTGCACTGACAGCAGCAGGGCCCAGCTGGGCAGCGCCGTTACCCACCTCCTATCCATCATCCTGCACTGGCCTTGTCACATCTTGTAAATCACCAAACCCGGCTCCATCCCGGTCCCTTCCCCGTGCCCGGGGGATCCCACCCTCCCTTCCACGCCGTGATGCTCCCAGCGGATGCGGATCCCATCCCTGCACTCTCCCATCTCCATTTATTGCCTGTGTGAGCAGATAACTCAGCATCTACTTACGGAGCCAAGGACCCTGCTTCTCTCCCTGTGCTCAGCCCCTCGGGGCAGTTGTTAGGGTCCCTCTGGCCCCTGTTTTGCCCCAGGCTCCAAAAGGATCACACGGAGCCATTGGAAATACCTGGAGGTGACCCAGCCAAGCACTGAAACAATCAACTCCTTCATTCACACTCCTCAGCACCACCCCATGGGACCTTCACTGTGGTGCTGGGGCTCATTTCCAGCCTTTTCTCTTCCTCAGCCCCCTTCCAGGCAGCCGGGACCTCACAGCTCTTCCAAGAGCATGGAGATGTCTGGAATATCAGGGGAATAACGGGCATCTCCTGCACTGAGCCACGTGTGACAGTACAGGCACCACGGTGCCGCGTCACCCCGGTGAAGAGCCGCTTCTATGGGGATTTGGGAAGCGACAACCAGGAAGATGGGCTGGAAAAGCAGGGCCATGGCTGGGGACAGGGACACTGTATGTGATGGCCTTTACCTGCTGGGCAATTCCTTATTGTGCCGGCTACTGCTGCCTCGTAAAGGGCCTGATGGATAACGCTCCTCATGGAGGCACGATGCCGTCGCCCTCCGCGCGCCACGATCCATCTTCTTTATAGCAAGGATCCGGAGCCAGCACCATCTGCGGCACCAGGAACACAATTACCGGGGAGGGGGGGCTGAGCCCCTCTCTTGCCAAACCTCATTGAGGCCTCCCCGAGCAGCCCTGAATCACCCCGCACACACCAGGGACCTCACGCTCCTCTTTAGCTATAATTACAGCTGGGGAATTAGCAAGTCTGATTTCCTCCCCCTTCTCCTGTGCCATTCCCAGCACTTCCCCACCCACTTCCAAAGAGAAAAAGAAGAGAGAAATTGGAATTGATCCCTGGCTCCCGGTGGCTGGAATTTAATCAGAAAAGCCTCTTTCGTGGCATTTCTTTGGTTCTTTTAACCCAAGGTCCTCAATGAGACAGGACGGTGGGAATCAGGAGCATCCCACCAGCCCCTGAGGATGGAGACCGGCTGCAATGAAGCTGGTTCAATATCCTGCTTCCCAGAGCCCCATCCTGCACCTTGCTCCCCACACACCCCCTCAGTCCAGCTTGGGGCTGAATCGACATCCCAGGCGCCTGCCCGCAGCCTCGGGTAAGGCGATTTACGGTGTATTCCAGGTAAATCCCAGTGAAATCCCCTGGTTTTAAGCACGTGCTGGAGCAGGCAGGCGGGTGCCTCCCTGCTCAACGTGTGGAACCTCCGGGGGTGGGATGGCACCGCACGAGGCAGGAACAGGACAAGGGGTTATTGTCCCATTGCAGGCAGCAGCTCCTTGAGCAGAGTGTGATGGATGCAGGGATGGATGCACAGACAGAGGCAGGGCTGGATGCAGGGATGGATGCACAGGTGGATACAGGGATGGCTTTGTCCTCACTGCTTGCAGACAGTGACATTCCTTGGCATGCCAGGACCCACCATAGGAGGCAATCCCTGCTCCGCAGTGCTCTGGCTAAGGGAAAGGGATGCAGGCAGCAGTGAAGGCAGATGGTTTGGGTCTGTGGCCACGCAGCTGATGGGGAAGGCAGAGGAGGTTGCACCATGGTTTGGAACCCTCACATCACCCTTCACTACAAAACCCCACCAAGCCCCAGCAAACTCCTGCTTGCACCAGAACTGCAGCCGCCCTCACACAGTAAATCACAGCCTGACCCCAGGTTTGCACTGCCTGCAAAGGGGTGGCTTTGTCACCTCCTCCGGTGACACCCAGCACTGATTTACAGCAGGGCAGGGGCACACCAGACACCTCCCCACCTCCAGCCCTTTCCCTGCTGCTCCGCTCCTTCTCCAGGCATCACCCGAGTGCAGAAGGTGTCACCACGGGGCCATGATCCAGCCCTGCTCATGCTGAGGAGGGCCAGGGTGAGGAGAGCCAGTCCCCAGGTTTAAATCAACGCCCTCCACTTCCCTTCCATGCTGAGTTATTGCGCCCTGGTTTTGTGATGGAGATGACCAGGCAGTGAGGGTTGAGTGACCTGGGCCAGACCACCGGGCTCCATGCTCCCAACGGGACCCTGGGCAGGGGGGGGAGGATGAGGGCTGGCCTCCAGCTGCTTTCTGGCCTCCATAACCTGCAGGGATGCTCCTGAGGGGGTGATGCTCTGCCAGGTGCAGTGCTCTGGGTCCTTCTTCCTGTTAGCTGGGTTCAGGGTGTCCATAAGGAACCGGTTCCCAGGCAGGGAGGCTCTGGTGATGCCTGGAAGGATGCCACCATATGGGGGGATGCTACGACATCTGGAGGATGCCATCACATCTGGAGGATGCCGTCACATCTGGGATGATGCCGTCCCATCTGGAGGATGCCATCACATCTGGGATGATGCCGTCACATCTGGAGGATGCCGTCACATCTGGAGGATGCCGTCTCATCTGGAGGATGCCGTCTCATCTGGGATGATGCCGTCACATCTGGGATGATGCCATCACATCTGAGTTGATGCTATCACATCTGGAGGATGCCGTCACATCTGGGATGATGCCATCACATCTGAGTTGATGCTATCACATCTGGAGGGTGCCACGACGTCGATGTGCAAGTTTCTTACCCCAAAATAACACCGAAAACCTCCTCCCGCGGCCTCCGGCATCCCCTTGTGGCAGGCGGAGGCTTTGCAGAGCCCCGTCTCTACCGGCAGGCTCTGCCGGCGCCATCCCCCGGTGTCCCCCCGCCGGTCCCCCGCGATGTGCCCAGCAGCAGATTCTCGTGTCCAGCAACAGAACCCTCAGCTCGCGCTTCCCAGCAGGATGCTCCCAACACGGAGGAAACAGCTGGTATCCTTCATCTGCTCCATATTGTCACGTTCAAGGATGCAATCACAGTGACCTTTGGGACTCTGCCTTAATGCTTGCTGGAAGTGGAGAACGTGGCCTCCCACGATCTGCTTTGGGACCAAACTCCTGCCTTTTTGCCATGAAAACAGCTGATCCAGGGACTAAACGCGCCCTTTTTCCCAGATCCCAGCTGGCCCCAGCATGTTGAACCCATTCACACGCCACCAGCCCTGTAGAGACGAAGATGAGAGCAGCCAGGTTGCACACGCAATGCAGGAAACCAGCTCCTGCAGCTCCCCCTGAGGGCTTCAGAATCCAGGAGGATGAGGAGGGCTGGGTGGAATTCCAGGGTGGAATTCCAGGGTTCGTCCAATGCACCTGCGCAGCCACAGGTGTTTGTGCCCTTGGCTGAAGTAGCAGCTCCCAGTTTTCCCTGATTGCCAGCATATAAAGGGAGCTGGGAGGGAGCTGGGGGGTTTGGCTGAGTCACTGAGGGCTGCTCAGGCTGCAGCAAAGGTGAGGCAGGTACAAAGCATCCTCCTGGGCTGAGGATGTTAAATCCTCCCCAAGCAGCCCTGATCCTGCTCAGGCTCACGAAGCCATTTTAAGCAGGGGTTTATCTGTGCTGAGCCCACGCCAGTGTGTGGCTCGTCACAGCTTTGGTGCCCCAAGGCCACCTTGGACCCGGAGCAGAAGCCTCCTTCTCACCGCAAAGCATAAAGGGGGGGTTCCACTGGTTCCTGCCAAGGTTTCCTTCCTGCTTGGAGCCAGGATGCTGCCCAGGCCAAAAGGGAGCCGTGGGGAAGGTCTGAGCCCCAGGTAAGCCATGGGGATGGTGAGGATTCCTCATTCCCAGAGCCTGCTTTGGGATGTCCAAGAGGGGTGGGAGGCTTTAATGGCATTGCAAAGGCTTTTTCCTTTCTCAGTTAATAGTTGGCTTCTATCAGGGGTTTGAATTCTGCTGAGAGGGCTGCAGGTTCCCTGTGCCATAAGGCTTATCCCTGGGGATCCGGGAGCTGCTCCGGCCTCTATTCTCTTGCTTGGTCACAAGGAGCTGGATTTATCCCTTCTCTTTGTACACGGCTCTGGTTCTGGTGCTGGGATAGGTCTTTGTGGCTGTGCAGCAGTGGTGTGCCATAGGGTGGGATGGAGATGTGCCCATCTTGCTGGGGCTGTGTTCAGTGCCCCCATCAGCATCTGTACCTCCAGCAAGACATTCCCAATCCCAATTCCCATCTCCCCACCTACCTGGGACACTTCCCCACCCTTCAGCCCCCAAGAAGTCCTCCTGTTTTCCCTGCTCTGTGCTGGAGACGATGCTGTGGGGATGCTCTCTCCCTCAACAGCACCCAGCAGCACCCAGTCCAAGGGATGGAAACTGGCCCCTGCGTGGCTGGGAGCCAGCTGAGGCTTCCCCATGGGATGAGGGATGCAGAGCTCGCAGGGTTTCCACGCCTGCTCCGTGTTTCCACAGGAGGGTGTGAACGGTCCCGAGTATCCCTGAATCCCACGGGAAGAGGCTCCTGGCGCCAGGCAGGGCTCGGGGCCAAGCTGGGCTCGCTCTCCCCGGCTGGGCCGGATGACAGATGCCTGCAGTGGAGGAGAACATGCTTCCAGCCTGGATGCATCTGACCCAGAGCTGCACTATGAGGAGGAAGAGGAGGAAGAGGAGAAGTCAGAGCCCTCGGACACCAGCAGCATCTTCTCCGATGACTCCGTCTATCCCTGCTATGAGCTCCCGCTGGAGGCCGGCAGTGCCAGGGACCTCAGCCTCTACCAGTGCTGTGCCAGGAATGATGCCAGGCTGGTGCGGGAGAGGCTGGAGCAGGGGGTGACCCGGAGCGAGGCCACGGAGGTGGACATCAACGGGAGGGTGAGTGGCCGGGGGGTGGCTTCGACATGGGATGGAGATCCTGAGGTTGATCCCATCCTTGGAGCACCTTTGTGCGTCCTCCCCTCCTGATCCTGCCTTGGGCTGGACAATGGGAGCACCGCAGTGAGGAGGATGCTGCGGTGCCCCCACGCTGAGGGCTGCCCCTCTGCAGAACGGGCTGATGGTCTCCTGCTACAAGGGCTTTGTGGACATTGTGCCCTTGCTGCAGCAGTGCCCCTACATAGACATCAACCAGCAGGACAAGGATGGGAACACGGCGCTCATGATGGCTGCGCAGGCAGGTAGGTGTGGCACAGCCCATGGCACCCCTTGGGAGTGATGTGCCCCTCCATAAACCCTGATATGAGCTGTTGGGAAAGCCAAGGCTCCCAAGGGATGTGACCATCCCCATCGAAGCTTCTGGTCCATCTTAGCAGTGGGTAGATGATGTAAAATGGAGATTCCTTCAGCAATAAAACCATGGAATGGTTTGGATTGGAACCCAACCCTTTCAGCCCTGATCCCTCCAAACCTCTCCCTCTTACTCCTCACTAAATCCCCTTTCTCCAAGGAGGCACCAGCAGATCCCACTCCTTAACTGTGGCAATTCTAACGCAGCTTCTCTCTGGCTGTTAAGGACACATCACCATCGTCAACTACCTCCTCAACTACTACCCAGGGCTTGAGGTGGACAAGAGGGACCCACGGGGCCTGACGGCGCTGATGAAGGCAGCGGTGCAGGGGCAGCAGGACTGCGTGACCGCGCTGCTCCTGGCTGGTGAGCGTCTCCCATGGGATTGGCGGGGGGGGGGTGCTGCGGCTCCGGGATGATGCTTTCTGCATCCCGTGTCTCTAGGAGCTGACCTGCAAGCGGTGGACCCCATCAAAGGGAAGACAGCCAGGGAATGGGCAGCCTTCACCGGCCGCTTCGAGACCACCGTGCGCATCCGGAGCCTCCTGCGGCGCCCACGGGCAGAGCAGTTCAGCACCATGTACCAGCCCCAGTGGCCAGCGCTGGCCGAGCTGGTGGCCAAGGCCCTGAGCCCCAAATCCAGGAGCAAGCGGCTGTTTGAGAAGATCGGATCCATGTTCTCCATCAGCTTCCCACGCAACCCCGAGGAGGACGGCGTCCTGGACCACATGGTGAGGATGACGACCTCCCTGGCCAGCCCCTTCGTGGCCACTGCTTGCCAAACCGTCTGCCCCAACAGCCCGCCTGAGGTGGGCAAGAGCAGGTTGTCCGTGCCGGAAATCCTTGGGAAGCACGTGCTGGATGCGGATACGGAGCCAGAGCCCACCTCGGGCTGCAGCACCGGCGCATCCTCCTGCAACGGCCAAGCCCCACTGGAGATTCGGCTCTCCCCTCCGCGCCGCCCAGCCAGGACCCTCCTGAGCTTCCTGCCGCTGTGGCTGCGGCGCGGGAATAGCATCTTCCCAGGGGAGCCGATCCCGAGGATCCGAGTGAGCAAAGACCCCTGTCCCCCCGCCCGCACCAGGCAGCGGAGCCCGCGCGGGAGGGACAAGAACCTGCTGCAGCCTCCCAAGTGGAGGTACAAGGAGCTGAAGGAGAGAAAAGCAGCCGAGGAGGCAAAGAAGAAGGAGAAGAAGGAGAAAGGGGGGAAGAGATGCTAAAGCAGGAGGTTTCCTTCTTTCCTCCTCTTCTTCTTGTCCTTTTTCCTTCTTTCTTCCTGTTTCCCCTTTGATCTTCCTGAGCCCTGGATGCTGCCGCGTGTGTGGAGCATGGTCCTGAAATGGAAGCGGTTGCCATGTTAACAGGATTGATTTGCTGAATAAAGCTCAGGGATGCTTGTCAGGCTGGCAGGAAGCTCCCCCATTGCTGCCAGTGTCCCCTCTCCTCCCTGTCACCCCCTCGGTGCCATTCACTCCCCAATTCCTGTGTATTTCCAGGATGCAGATGGGCAAACTCTTTGTCCTGGGCAGCACATGGAGCAGCATCACTTGCACCAGCCTGGATCCTGCTGCACAGGTGGAAGGGGCAGTCAGGGTCCCACCAGCCAGTGTCCCCTCTGCTGTGATGGGGAATGCTGCATGAGCTTTGGGGGTGGTTTGATCATGGTCCAGGGATGCCCACGGTGCTTTCTGTGCGATGATGCACCATGTTGAGCACCCAAATGATGATGAAGGTCTTGCTTTGAGGGGGTGAACAGGGGGCTGTGGATGCAGGATCAGGGCAGGGATCAGAGACCCTGGGGTGGGTTTGGTGCATCCAGGAACAGCTCTATGGCCAGCCCTGGCTCCAGATGACTTCATTATCACTGACCGCAACCATAAAGCAGGGAGCTGATGCCCACCATGTGCATCAACCCATGGAAGACGGCAGGGACACAGGAACCAGCCAGGAATAGCCCCAGGAGGGGCTGATCAGATCAGATCAGAGATGGTCGCAGTGATAAAGGCGTCTGCAGGCACCGGCTTCCTCCCGGGCGGCTCCTATCCGATGGGAACTGCCCGTTTCCCCTCCACAAAGCTCCGGCCCCGGCACGGGCAGGGTCAGGCCTGAGGGTCCCGCATGGTTTATCCTGGTTTTGTGCCTTTGTTTGTTTAAGCTTCCTAGATCACGGGCGATAGCGGGGATGAGGCGGCCAGCGGGGCTCCAGCTTTAGCATCATAGACTCAAGCAGGTTAAAAGACCTTTAAGGCCATCAAGCCCAGCCATTCCCCCAGGGCAGTGATCCCCTTTGCTCTGGGTGCTGGTTGGGTTCAGGACGCAGTTGGGGTTGGGGATGCTGTAGGGAACAAAGGAAAATCAGGCCCCGTAGCTTCACTGGGAAAGAGGATGGGAGCGGGTCCCCGTGCTGGTGGCAGAAAGGCAGGGATGGGGCTTGGGAAGGGGCTGGGAGGAGGGCGGGGGACAGGAGGAGGGTGAAGCTGCTGAGAAAGGCCCAAAGCACAGGCACAGACTGGCAAAAGGGGAAGCGGTGCTTCCGCATCCCACACGGAGCGGGAAGTGCCCGGCCTCCCACCGTGGGAACGGCTCTGCCCCTGGCATCCCAGCACCCACAGGAGGCACAGGGATGTGCTGGCACTGAGCAGCACCCCCAGGCCCAGGGCTGAGCATCCCCAATAGGGTGATCACCCCCTGATGCAAAGAGCCAGGAAGCCCCTTGGCTCCACCGGGATGCTCCCTCCCATCCCCAGGAGAGTTGGATGCAGGAGTGGAAGGGATGGCCAAGCACATCAAGGTCATTCCCACAGCGTCTATCCATGGCTCCCAGCTCCAGCACCATCAAAGCAATCAGCTTTAGAAGGTCTTAGGTGCTCGGGGTAGGAGAAATGATGGATGTCCCCATTGGGTTTGCCTGGGAAGCCGGGAAACTGGGTGGGAAAGTGCCTGGTGTAGGACAAGGGTGGGAGGAATGGGCTGAGGGAGAGCAACCAGGATGGAGCTGGGGCCCGGTGTGCGGGAGGAAGGGAGGCTGGCCATGGATGTGTGCTCAGCAATAGGAAATGCTTTATTAGCTGGGAGTGGTGGAGAGGAGCCAGGCAGGAAGAGGCAGTAATAAGAAGCATTTTTCTGACTTCTCCCACATCCAGACCACAAAGCGGCTGCGTTCGGATCACAGGGCCACCGGGAACGGGGAGCCGGGAGCTGGGATGGGTGGCGGGACGGGAGCAGGTCCATGAAGCTCCTCCAAGCCGGGCTGCACGGCACTGAGACCTGCCCCGGCTGAGCCAGCGCCACGTCCCAGCTCCTCACCGCACCGGACACGGATGCTGGAGGTGAGTGGGGTCTGGAGCTGCCCCGAGTTGTGTTTCCCCCTGGATTTATCCTGGAATCAGGATTTGGTCCCGTTTCCTTCATGTTTGGAGGGACACCGGGGTTGACGTCAGGGTTGGCAGAGGCTGGAACCGGGGCTCTGGTGGTGGTGGGAGCTTAGAGCCGGGTTTATAGCCAGGTCCTGGCTGAAGAGTTGGAATCATACATGGCTTCTACTGAGAGCCCGGAGCTGAGCTGGGAACTGGGGAATTTGGGTGGATTTGGAAAGGCACAAGGGGAAGGTGACAGCTCTTAGCCAGGGGCGAGAATGATGGCGATGGGGCCACACTGGAGGGTGCAACCGGCTTTGCTGCATGTGTGACCACACGCGTGTGGGGGGTCACAAGGAAATTCCAACCGGGAAGTGGATCTTGTTCGGGAACCCTCAGCTGCCCATTGATCCCAGCTATGCGCCATCCAAGAGGTTCTAATTGGGGTGCTTTCCCTTCTCCTGCTGCTGATGCAAATCCCAAAGGATGGAAGGATGGAACACAGCAATGTAACTTGCCATCACCTCCCAGCCTGGCTGGGAAGATGCTCCAGACACTGGGAAGGCAGCTCCAGAAAGGAGGGAGGAAGTTTGGGCACAGCAATGGAGACATGGGGACTGGTTTGTCCTGGGATGTTGTTCCCATGGGATGCCAGGGAAGCTCTGGGTTAAGATTTGCTCTTGGTTATGTTATTGCACGCAGAGCAAAGTTTGGGCTGAGGCGCTGACCGCATTGTGATCCATGGCAAACATCCCACAGGCTCGGGATTCTATGGAAGTGCCCCCGAGAGGGGAATTCACCCCCCAGGAACTTTGGCTTCTCTTTAAATGCCACCTTTCACAAGGAGAAGCCGGAGCATCCCAGAGGCTCAGGGCACAGCAGCCCTGCTCCAGGTGATGCTGATCCCCAGCAGCATCCCACCGGGCACCCAGGACCAGCCCCGTTGCTGTTTCCTCCCCACAAGCGCCACCCAGGCAGCTATTTTGGGGAGAAAAAGGCTGTTTGGAGCCGGGCCGCGGCCGGAGCGTGCTCCTGAGGGCCGGGTTTGCGTGACTCCGCTTCCCCATCGAGGCCAGGATCTAAACAATCTTGATTCCTGTCCCGGCAGCCCTGGGCAGGGCTCCTTCAATTGCAGGAAACGGAGCCTTTGGCGTGTTTATGTCGGGAATGACAAAGAATGAGCCGAGGAGGGGCCGGGGAGCGCTCGGAGCCGTGGAAAGGGGCAGCGATGCCGGCGGGGGGCAGCGGCGGCTCCGCCGTGTTTGCTTTGGCAGGAACGAGCCCTTGCCAGGGGCAGAAAGAAGCAGAAAACAGCAAAACTTCCCCCAAATCCCAGCTGGGGGGGTGGGGTGGGGATGAGGGGTTGGGATTTGGCCGCCTCTGCTCGTGTCATTGATAAACTCCATGCAAAAGCCCCCCCGGGACCCAGCTCCGGATCGTGGCCAGACGCACTCGGCGCCGGCTGGGGCTCCGGGCTCCGTCTGCACCTCGGATGCTGCCAAAGCTGGGATGCGGGGCTGCAGAGCCCATGAACGGCCACTGGGATGAAGGAGGGAGTTGGGACAACATGGACACGCTGAGGGCCGCGCTCCCTGGGGCTGTGTGTGGTGTTGATGCTGCGGCTGGGAGGTTCCCCAGGCTCAGGAGGTCCCAGGGATCTGCTCTCAGGAAGGGCTGTACCCAGGACGTCCGGAGCCAAGCTCCACTTGGGAGCAGCACGTCCCACCTCACACCACTCTGCCCACTCCATCACTCCCCAGGTGCCCCTTTTCCTTCCCCAGCCCTGCAATAGGGACATGGGCACTGCAGGGACGTGTGGGATGTGGGAACATTGGGGGTCCCTCTCACCCCTCTGCTCCCGCAGGAAGATGCTGTGTGGAGCCTGCAGCCGGGTGGTGCCAGTGCTGATGCTGATGGCCATGTCCCTGTGCTCTGCAGCCGGTGAGTACCAACCAGGTGACGTGGTGATGCTCCTGCCATGCATCAGGTTTCAGACAAACCCTCGTCCCTTTGGGAATGTCACCACTTGCTCTGCTCCAAATAAACCTCTGCTGGAGCTTGCCTGGAGCAAGCAGGGGGGGACAGAGCTCCTTGGGGACCCCCGTTGTCCCAGTGAGGGGCTCCCCGCTGTGACAGTGACCAGAGGGGATCTCCGCTCAATTCCTTCTGGTTCATCAGGCGCTTTGACGTTACCAGGGGGGAGATGGGAGCAGGCTGGATGCACGTGGCTTTTCCCAGGGGTGATGGTGAGGAGCTGGGAGCGTGATCCCAGGGGAAAACCACAGTGACCTGGGGACAGATCCAGGCACAGTGCTTCTGCAGGGAGGACTGAGGCAGCAGAGCTCATTGAGGGATGAGCCGTGGGACCACCAGCCCCACCGCTACCCCACGGCCATGACAAGGGGCAGCTTTTAGGCGAGAGGGGAGCATTGGGTTCAAGAGACTTTAGGACAGATGTCACTGTCCCTGAAGCCAGCAGCGTGTCCCAGGCTGCCCTGTGGGGTGTCCCCATGGCACAACGTGCCCCATCCTCACTGTGCAGATGAGCTGTTGTGCGCCTGCGACGTCCCGCACTGCAGCACGCTGACCTGCACGGGCAAGGTGTGCTTCGTCAGCAAGAGGAAGGAGGACGGGGCCATCACCCAGCACCGGGGCTGCTTCTCCCAGCACATCCTGGAGAACTGCCACACGCCCGTGACGGAGCAGTACGGGATGAGGTGCTGCGACACCAGCATGTGCAACGCCGAGCTGGAGATCTTCCTGCAAGGTACAGGGAGCCCTGCATGGATGGATGTGTGCTTGGGCTCCATCAGAACCTCAAGGGTCACCAGATGGGACAGGGATGTCCCTTCTTGGGCTGTCACCCACTGACCCCAAGCAGAGCCACCCTCCTCAAGCACCCTCAACCCTCCCAGGTCCACCTTCATGCTCCCACCCCTTGTTTCCCCCCACCCAGGAGAAGACAGGCTGGGAAAGGTGCCTTCCCTGCCCAGCCTCCTCCTCATGATCTTCGTCCCGCTGCTCACCCTCCTCCTCCTCGTGGCGCTCACAGCGCTCTTCTGCTGG